TAGGATGGTCTCGATCTCTTGACCTCGTGATCCACCCGCCTCGGCCTCCCACAGTGCTGGGATTACAGGCTTGAGCCACTGCGCCCGGCCCTTAATTTAATTTATTAAGTGTTGTAACCGCCTTATCCATGTGCTTAGGTTCTGGGTTTACCCTCATTTGTAACTATGCAATAGGCAGGAGATGCCAATAGTTTTAGAAAGTAACAAATTTTAAAATGAGAAAATCCTATTATTTATAAAAATCAAGGAAATCTCAATTGCACAATTAGGGACTAGCAGAACATTAATGTGGGATCTAAAATTTGCTGTGGCCTCAATTGTTTGTAATACTTTTAGTATTCATTCAAGTGGAATTCCTTACCTGTACCTTTAGCTCAAAAATGAATCAATTAATTTCTAGTTAAATAGTTGTTTTGACAAAATTTATGATAGATTAGAATTCTAATACTTACCAAAAGATTCATATTGTTTTTTAAATAATTGTTTGTGGCCAACAGTATTAATGGGAGCAGAGTAAAATACCATTTTTTTTTAAAGATACCTTAGGATGATCATTTGAACAATTATTTTTACATACTGTTTTTTATTCTCAACTGTATAGCATAATAGTACCTTAATAAAGCCTTAATTTCTCTCTCAAAACAACTTCAAAAGGTAGGCAAAAGAGTATCATCATTTTCTTTGCATAAACAGGGAGTTTAAATGGTGCACTGAAACCCACCACCTACTAAGTTATTGATCCAGAATTAGAATCTAGGTCTCCAAATTCAGGACTCTCTACTATCCATCCTACTCATGTGTCATAATCCTGAAAACTCAAGATATTAATAACTTTTCAGTAACAATGCTCTCTCCAGATATTCCTATTTCAAAACACAAATAATTCTATGAAGGTTGCACATTAAAACCTGCCTATGTGTGAATTAATTTATCTATCATTTTCCCTTAAGACAGAGGAGCTCTGGGTTAGGAAAGATTTGTAGCCAATAATGGGTGGCTGGGGAAAAAGAAGGCCACCAGAAAAATAGAAGGAATGGATGCATTAAGGGAGCTTTGCATATTTACCTCTTTTCTTGACCACCTCCATATAAAAAAGCCTCATTCTAACCAAATATGTTCTATTTTTTAAAGTAGCTCTTTTCTAGCCATATTTAACTGGCACGAATAAAAATAAATTAGTATTTTGATCTGTCTGTTCCTGATAGTTATAGCACCTCACATGTGAATAGTACCATACAATTTGCAACATATCTGTATATTCATTATTCAATTTGATCTTTGCAACTGATATATGGTTTGCTTATTGATCAATGAGGAATCTAACTCTCAGAGGCTTAATAGTTGAAATAAAGACCAAGCCTCGTTCTTCAGGGTCTAAAACCTGTCTTTCCCAAACCCCACAATGCTCATGCTCATAGAGCATCATTCTCAGTGGATACTTACATTTCATCACACCTTGAATTTCATAAACAGGCTTGAGAATCAGGGTACCATAAAAGTCTTTAGGAAATGGATTCGTTGAGTCCCACTTATTTGAAAAATCTGTAAGTTTTACAGTTCGTGTTCTGTTTTTGGGAATCTTCCATTCAACAATCTCCTTTAGAGTATAAATACGTTCATCTTCACACTCGTAGAATTCTCCTTCTTGTGACAAAGGCAAATTAAATGAATGATTTTGATGATTTCTTACCACTGCACAGCTCACCATTATTTCTCCATTGATCTCTTCAACTGAGTTGAGCATGATTTGCTCACCTTGCTTTATGATGAGGCTCTCTAGTTTTATATCCTTCTGATGATAAAAGCAAGGATGCCCTAGTCTACTTGGTCCAATATGAATGGTCCTTGTGATTTCTTCCATAGTAAGGTACGGAGTTTTATCAGCCACAATCTTAAAAAGACCTAATAACAGAAGTATGTGAATTAAAAAGAGAGTTCTTACAATGAAAATTCTCACAAGAAAATCACAATGAGAGAGTTAAAACACAAATACCATGTACATTTTTAAAGTGATACTGTTTTAAAGATTAGAAATGCTTGTTTTAATCCAGAGTTCTTCTAGGTAAAATTATGAGGTATTGCTTATAGATCACTGGATCATAAAACCAGACAATACAAATTAAGACAAGGTGAAAATACCTTGAAATAGAAAAGACTGTTCTTGGAAATAAGAAATCTGGATGAGATACTGGCTCTGTTCCAACTACTTTGTGATCTCAAGCAAACCTAACCTCTCAGTCACATTTTAAATTTTTTATTTTTAAAATGAGAAGATTCGATTTGGCCAACTTTTTACTGAATATATTCTCTAGACACACCAAAATTAAAAGATATTCCCAAAGGGAACTGATTTCTAGTCACATCAATGATTAAAAAGCTATATAGCTAGGCTTGTAATCCCAGAACCTTGGGAGGCTGAGGTGGGAGGATCATTTGAGGCCAGGAGTGTGAGATCAGCCTGGGTAACATGACGAAACCCCATCTCTACAAAAAATACAAAAATTAGCTGGGCATAGTGGCATGCACGTTTAGTCCCAGCTACTCGGGGGGCTGAGGTGAGAGGACTGATTGAGCTTGGGAGGTGGAGGTTATAGTGAACTGAGATCAATCTACTGCACTCCAGCCTGGGCAACAGAGTGAGACTGCCTCTCAAAAAAAAAAAAAAAAAAAAAAAAAAGCTACATAGCTTGGACTAGATGGATGGTAGTGATGGTTGCACAATATTGCAAATGTACTTGATGCCACTGAACTGTGCACTTTAAAATTGTAAAGTTCATGCTATGTGTATTTTACCACAATGAAAAAATATCTGCATAGGTCCAATTAATGTAAGACTTCTCAGAAACTTTAAATGCACTGTGACTCTCAAGAGGAGGATATGAGATGCGGAATTTCCCAAATTTCCTTGATTATAAAACTTTTGAGGAAAACACACATTAATAAATCACAACATAATATATCACATAACGCTCCTTTAAAATACCTGGTCTGACTGCTCTTGACTATATTTCAATCATTCTTCTCATTTTCTCTCATTACTTCTGTAATTTTTCCATTAGAAAATTGTGCTATTTTTGCTATTACACTGATATCTATTTCACTAATTTCAGTATTTGAAATGTTTTCTCTGATTCTATCAGGATAATCAACTACTACAATAAATTTTTACTATTTAAGATATAGCTTTTTGTACATTGGATGTCTAAGTGGTTCTGTTTGATTTATTTTTTATTTTATGGGCCACATCTGCTTTGCATCACTTTCAGAAATTCATTTATTAAATATATTTTAATAAATTCCAGAGAAAATGAGAACAAAGAATAAATTAGTTAATTGCATTCTTAACCCAAAGTAATTAATAATATTATATACTAGCATGCTCTAAGAAGATAGTTTTTTAAAAAGTAAAATTATATAGCTTCAAAAAAATCATTTATTATTTCATCAACAAGTGTATTCCAGTGAAATTCATCTATACATCAAATAATTTTTAACCAGATTATAGTGTCCTTTTAATAATTTTGGGTTACTTTTCAAAGATTATTCTAATCAGTTATTTTTGAAGTCTATTTTCACTCATAAAAACAGACGGAATTTTGGTGATTTTTAGATATAAACATCCTGAAAAAGTGTGAGTGATGCATTCTTGGCAGGAATGAGCAAGGTAGCAAATGCAACCTATCCTAAAAACTTTTAGAAAAGGAACAGTGTTCATTCACTGCATGGTGTGCCTGACTAAAAAAGGGAAAGACACATTTACTTTGAAGGAATTCCTCATTTTATTATATCTCGTATCAGGGAGAATTCAATTAAAATAGTGTTCTTGAGTTCACCACAGTAAATGAATTTTTTTTTGTGTGTGTGTGTGTGTGTGCGCCTGTGTCTGTTTAATCTCATTTGTCTGTGTGTGAAGATTTATTTCTAAGAGTCCACAATCATTATCAGGAAATAGAAAATTCAGCAGTTTTTGTAAAATAAGTTTTTTAAAAAATATAGCTACCTAGAATCTCATAAAAGGTAGAGACACATAGTTTTGTTTCTAGCCTAGCTATAGCGATGACATAAGTCACAGAAGAATTAATTTGGCATCATCTTTCTTGGGGAATAGAGCTCACCTAAGGTAATAACAGACCTAAAATATGAAGTAGGAAAAAGCTAAAACCCTAAGGTCCAACATTATTTCAGTTAATCACACTATTCAGAGCTGTCTTGTTGGATGTCTCTACTGCGAGAAAAATGTTTCTGTGAATCTGTGTGCTTTTCCTTAAAAGATGATGAAGTACACAGTTTAGCATACTAAGTAGCACAATGTAGGAAAAATATTTGATTAACTTATCTCTTCATGTAATATTGCAGCCAATCCAAATAATTCCTTCTTTAAAACAGCCACTGAAAGCCATAAAAACTAGGGCATGCTGTTGCTGCTTTTTTTAAATTTGATGCTGTATTGGAACTTCAGTTTCACAGTGAAGAAAGTTAAATATAAATTAAAGCACCATTGGGACTGATGAGATCTAAAAGTGACGAGTGTTTTTTTTTTTTTTTTTTTTTCATCTTTTCCTCAAAGTGTACAATAGTTTTATACTGGGAAAATATGCTTTGTTATTCTTCCAAAAAAAAGATAAGGTCCATTCCAAGAGTTGAGTAATAAAGTTAGTAAAATAAACCAATATGCAACCTTTATAAAACAAGTTAACAGGAGAAAATAGATGTCTATTTCCACCTTAAGTTGTTAGGATCTTTATTATTATTATTATTTTATTTTTTATTTTTTGAGATGGAGTCTCACTCTGTCTCCCAGGCTGGAGTGCCATGGCATGATCTCAGCTCACTCCATCTTAGTCTCCTGGATTCAAGCAAGAACCTCAGCCTCCTGGGTAGCTGGGATTACAGGCACACACCACCATACCCAGTTAATGTTTGTATCTTTTTTGTGTGTGTGTTTTTTTTGAGACGGAGTTTCGCTCTTGTTACCCAGGCTGGAGTACAATGGCGCGATCTCGGCTCACCGCAACCTCCGCCTCCTGGGTTCTGGCAATTCTCCTGCCTCAGCCTCCTGTGTAGCTTGGATTACAGGCACGTGCCACCATGCCCAGCTAATTTTTTGTATTTTTAGTAGAGACGGGGTTTCACCATGTTGACCAGGATGGTCTCGATCTCTTGACCTCGTGATCCACCCGCCTCGGCCTCCCAAAGTGCTGGGATTACAGGCTTGAGCCACCGCGCCCAGCCCAATGTTTGTATCTTTAGTAGAGATAGGGTTTCTGCATGTTGCCCAGGCTGGTCTTGAACACCTGACCTTAGGTGATCTGTCCACCTCGGCCTCCCAAAGTGCTGCAATTATAGGTGTGAGCCACCACACTGGCCTGTTAGCTCTTAAAAGAAATTTTATTTTTATTTTTGAATTAGGAGACATTGTTCATAAAGAAAATGTCACTTAACTAACAAAAATCATGGGAAATACAATAGATTGAGCTGTTAGTTAATAAATGAATGTAGTCTTTCAAGTCTTTTCCTTGAATCTTAGGTTTTGAGGGTATTTATATTTTTAACCCATTCTTAATGATTTACAGTTTTTATTAACAGTAATTGCAGCGACCGAAATCTGTTTAGAAATTTACAAGTTTGAGAACTTTCTTATATGCAATATTTATCCTTACAATAATCTTCTGAGGACAATGAAAGAAATATTGTCACTATAGGGGGATATAGAAATGTCACAATTTTTACAGCTGGCAGTCATAGCTCTGGAATCTCAATCTGAGCTTTGACATCCAAGTTTTGCATCCTGCCACCAAGCCAGGCTTGCCTCCCTGTTACATTTATGACTTACAAGGACATTGCTCATGAGAATAACATGTTTATAGGTCTCAGCCCTCTCTTTGCATGGACCAGCCTTCCCCAGATGCCACAGTATGAGAAGAACAATAATAATCTCCCGGTCCTACTTCAAAGGTTTTGATAGGTCATTTCATGTACACCATTTCAATCTGAAGATAAATAGAGATACTTGAGCTAAAATTTCTAATGGAAACTGGATTTGGGGTAGTCTTGAAGAAGATAGATTTATAGAATATACCGACCTGAAATTGCCTTAGGAATGTAACACACTGATAGAAAAGCCACAAGAAACATGTGAAATGAGAAATATATAATAACAAAGATGTTTAGGTTGGCATATTCTACAATTCATCAAAGCAAAAAGTTCAAAGCCCTCAAAGTATTGGAATATAAAATAATAATGGCCTGAACTGAGAAGGGTCTCCAGATTTTGGCGTCAATTACAGATCACTGAGTGACTCCAACAATCTTCATAGAAGAGTCTTTGAGAGCAGAAATAAGCAATGTGGTGAAAATCAAAATTTGGGATAAAGAAATGTACACAGTAATTTAACTGAGTATTTGGGAGGGAAAAACATATGTCAAACATGGTGACCATGTTTCTTAAAATGTTGGGGGAAACTAAGTGAGGCCATAGAATGACTATGTTCAATTATCTTCACATTAATAATTGAATTGGGGCCAAGCACGGTGGGTCACGCCTGTAATCCCAGCACTTTGGGAGGCAGAGGTGGGCAGATCATTTGAGGTCAGGAGTTCGAGGCCAGCCTGGCCAACATGATGAAACCGCACCTCCACGAAAAATAAAAAAATTAGCTGGGTGTGGTGGCGTGTGCCTGTAGTCCCAGCTACTAGGGAGGCTGAGGCAGGACAATTGCTTGAACCTAGGAGACAAAAGTTGCAGTGAGCCGAGATTGTGTCACTGCACTCCAGCCTGGTCAACAGAGTGAGACTCCATCCCAAAATAATAACAGTAATAATAATAATTGAATTGAAACTGTCTGCAATCTATTAACAGTTTTTCATATTTATTTTACCTAAGGAGGTAAAAGAATATATAA